AATTCAAAAGCCTGCTATTCCCATGTCTAATTCTCACCTTAATGATTATTTATCAGCTAAAAAAATTGAAAATCATGTCCTTTTCTTCGGGATTATGAACATCCCTGTTAATTAAATCATCATCTGCAAAGAGAGCAACTATAACACTAGTGCATATCCAAACTTGTAGCCCTAAAAAATTTTAGACAAAAGCAACCTTCATTTGTAAAACCTGCTGCACCCAGAAAATTGTGGGTTTCACTGGAGACCATGAACCAAACTGGAACAGTGGCCAAACTTGACGCTATTTAACATAACTTTTCACGCACCCTATCCAAAGACATATCTAAGACATTCTTTCACTTCCCTCCCCCATCCCTACCAATTTATTTACTATTTACAGCAAAGACCTTTTATTTTAAAAACTCTTATCCACTTCATTTCCTAACGCAAGTTCCTTTTCACACTGGCCTGCAGAGACTGTTCTAACACGAAAAGCAGTTGCGATAAAAAAAAGTTTATAATTCCCAACCGAGAAAGGAATCTCCAAGCACAACAGTACACCCTATTCCTTGGTAAATTTGGTAAAAAAAAGATAATTATTCAGGTTGCCTATGAAGCATTTTAAATCCAATACAATCCCCAGTGTAGCTTCTAGCTGGTCTCCATTTGTTCCAGCTGACAGAAGATTTTTCTGTAATGGAAAGTTTACCAAAAAAGTCCAACAAAAAACAGCCGACGTCTTCTTTGAGCAAATTGTCCATTTTCTTCCAAAAATTTGAAAAGATAGATAAAAACTATTAACTGTAAACAAGTGATGACGGATACTGAGCTATGAAGATCATTAAAAATAAAGATAAGAAAGTGAAATGACATGACTTTAAAATAGGTCGCATGCACAAAGGAAATGTAACAAGGGGAAAAAAATAATAACATTTTTGAGTAAAATTTGTAAATAAGTTAAAAGAACGTACCTTAACACATCCTCCTTCAAAGCACTAATGAATTAAAATATGCTTTATCTAATTACATTTCAAATCCATTTCACTCTGTTTTTTGGCGTCTAGACTATTGAAATGTGCATTCCCAGAACTGTCAAATAATAAAATATAAAACTGTATACGAATTCACACTACATCACATAATTAAGAAATCTATTTTCTTCTGTACTTATTCCCCTTTTAACAACGGCTCTAATGCACCAATATTCATACTAGACACCGTCGAATTTCTAATCAAATTTTCATCCAAACTAATATATAGATACCAATCTAAACCAATGTGAGCATAAACCGTACAAAAAAGAGTTGCTGGCAAGAATAAAACCAAGCGGCCGTCGGCAACTTTAAATTTGATGCCTTAAAAAAACCAAGAAGTAAAAACACTCAAGCAAAAGCTCAAAGAGCTATGACGCTGAATGGCCAAACAGAGGAAATCAAAAAGAACCATATGAAAGAACATCCGGGCTTTTGGAGACCTACCAATCCTACTACAATGCAGACCCCTTTCAAGCGTTCCTCAACAGTAAACCTAGAAAAAAGTTTTAACTTCCTCAGAGAGCAAACTCCAAGAAACACCATATATCAAAAAACCAAAAAAATTCCCCTCCTTCCTCATAGGCCATACTGTCAAGCAAATTTCAAAAAAAGTCAATGTACTTTAAAAAAGATAAGTGGATTAGATACAATTCATATCAGCTGAATAAAAAAAACAACAATATAAAGTTTTAAAAACAGTCCCACTTGCGACTTCAGTTTTGAGTATTAGATCTTCATCTCCAAAACCGCGAATTTCTACAATCAAAATTTCAAAGCATTCAGTGAAGTTGAGCATTATTATTTTCGGACTTTAGAAAGTTTCAATAAATTTGAATCTGGGAACTAAAACCGTCGAAAATTTTCTGCTAAACTTAAATAAACCAAAAAATGCCTAAAATCTGAGACACCCAAAAATACTTTTCTCACATATAGTGCGAACGAATTTGCTCAGCCAGAAACGGTACAAATTTTTTCCAGATTGTCATTCTTAGCGCACCGAAAAGTATGTGCTGTAACCGGAGAATATGTAGTGCAATTTACCATATATATTACAGTTTCTCCTGCTCTTCTTAATTAAGGCTACTGCTGCATAAAATCATATCCACAACAGAAAATTTCTCAAAAAACCAGGTCTTCGTTCCTGTACTGCTGAGCCGCGACAGTAGTTCTTATTATTCATCAAACTACTTTAGATAAATTTCCTAAACAACAATCCACTAACCAAAAAATCCCTCTTCTCAATGCTCTAACTAAAATTTTGAGACTCATCCCCAATTACCAAGAATATTTTAGATTATTCAATTCCCAGAACCATGTGATACTTATAAAAGCAAAGTTTTTTAAGACTGTCAACAAATGACTTGAAACTACTATATCCTTCCTATAAAAAATTAGATAAACTTTGCTTTGTTTACGTTTTCCACGTACATAATCCTCCCGGTGCTGTTGAAAAAACCTAGTAACGTTACTGTAGGATACTTCTACAGGCAAGAATTCATTAGAACAAACTAATTCTTAATTTCAACACCACCCTGACTTGCCCTCTACAAATAATATCGCTCTAGTTGCTCGCCTACACCCGTACTCAAAAATTTACCTAGTTGTTCCACTACCTAAATTCCGGTGATTTCTCGTATACTAAACAAAAAAGATGTTCAAAATGTTAACGTACGCATCATGCAATACCTTTACAACTCTTGAAATTTATAACTCATTGAGACGCAAAAAGTAATCACAGCATAACCCACCTCACATTCACAGTTTGTAAAAACTACTAATACGTATGATTTACAAATAATGTTTTCATACTTAAGTCAATAGCCGCCGAGAAAATTTTTAATTTTTCTTACCTGGTCAAACACTACCATTTTTCTATCGTGTGACAAAACTTTCCACGCATGCAGTATATTGGGTAAAACAGTATGGATCAATGAAATCAATAACAAGAATGTTACGTTTTAGGGACCGCGCCATGGTGTTTACATAGTATCGAACTGCGTATGGAGGTATATTGTATCTTTTTGCCGCGACTTGCACTCCGTAGATTCTGCCACATTTAGCTATCTCATAGCGCTCTTTTCTCGTCGTGTAATACTTATGACGCCGATCTAACCCCTCTAAATTTTCTTGATCATCACTGCCTAAACGCAAAATTTCAAAACTTGAGCTACCAAAAAAAGAACTCTATCTCCGAATTCAAAAACACTCCTATCAGTCAAAAAAAGCTTTCTTACCCATCTGATTGCACGTCGCGTTTGCAAGTAAAGCCTGAACGCTTTCATTCCCATCGACACCATTTAATGCCTGCAAGTCCATCGATGTGCTACAGTTGAGATTTGTCAAATCATCTACTTCTGGGCCCAGCGTAATATTCTAAACGAATATATCAAACAAATTCTGTCAAACCCGTACTGCTGCATCCCGAATCCTGTTCCCCAGCGAAATAAAAAATTTCAGTTAAAAAAAAAAAAAAAAAAAAAAAAAAAAAAAAAAA